CCTCTCATGTTCTTCATTGAATTTTTTTTCTTCTTCGATAGCTTTCTTGCAGAGACTTTCAAAAACAGATTTTGTACAGGAGTGAATATACGTGATGATATTATTATACGTGCTCTCATTCATTCCTTTACAAATGTCCATGAGGTTGCAGAATAAATTAATACCCTCTCTGCCAACACCTAAGAGTCGCATAACAAACACCATCCGACGATTCACTTCGTATCCAGTGTTGATTAGTGGTCCTGAATTGATGTTTCTCTGACCACAGCGACAAAGTAAAACTATCTTGAAACCGAGGCCTCGATTCCCAGCTTCTTCAAACTTTACATTCTGTTTACAAACACGACAAACAAGGAGCTCTGTCAAGGCTGTAAAAACGGTGAATATTTCAATCAAACGATAGCCATGCAATGGATTCCAGTGAATATCTTCAGCACTAGCATTGGAGAGTTTTCTTGCACTCGTACTTTCACATCCTTCATCTTCACTCTTTTTATTTGAAAACTGATTACCATGGAACTTTCTTTTGCGTGGTTTCGATTGTTTTGGTTCGGCGTGTGTGCCTTTCGGATAGGACATTTCGAATTTGCACTGTCGTTTTGTACAGGCCGAACTTCGGAGCTAAACTGAAAACCGGTTCTGCTCGATGCCAGCGCCAACGGACCCAACGGTTTCGACTAAACGTAACAATAGAAATAAAAGCCATCTACCAGGGGTGCGTTCCAAAACCTACAGTAAAACTATAATTACATCTCTATACGTTTTGGATCGCAGCCCTGAAAGGTAAAATCCCCGCTCCGGGTGAGTATACCTGCTGCGTGCTATTAGAGCCTCGACGCTGCTCAAGAGATTTGTTGCGCTCGGAGGCCATAACTTCCGAACGGCTGCGAATTTCGATTTAAAACGTTGGGAACATATTCTTACAATGTTAAATAAACATTTTATGCAAAAAAAAAAAATTCGATTTTTTGAAAGTTCTAATTGGATTTCCCCCCTTAAGCTGTACTAAATGTACTATTTACGGAGATTCTGTTAACTCCAAAATGTGCTTTCCTTATGAACAAAGATCAAGTGATGCACTTAGAACTAACGAAGACTTTGTACGTCAAACAGACTCTGATTATCATCAAGGAGAACCCATAATTTTACTCTTTGTGCCTAATTTAGGATTAGAGTCAAATATTGCTCTTGATTATATGCACTTAATTTGTTTGGGCGTTGTAAAAAAAATGATATTGTTGTGGATGAGTGGACCACTAGCTGTTCGCATTAGTGCTCAAGCAAAAGACAATATTTCACAAAGACTTATTAATTTAAAAAGTACAGTGTCTAAAGAATTTTCAAGGCGACCTCGAAGTTTAAGTAAAGTAGCATACTGGAAAGCCACAGAATTTCGGCAATTTTTACTTTACACTGGACCTATTGTTGTAAAAACTGTTTTAAATACAGACGTATATGCACACTTTTTGATTTTGTAGCTGCATCAATACTCATCAGTCCAACGCTAATAGTAAATAAAAACAATATAGATTATGCAGAAAAACTGTTGCAATATTTTGTTCAATCATTTGAGAAAATTTATGGTAAAGAATATATATCTCATAATGTACATAATTTATTACATATCTCAAATGAAGTTCGAAAATTTGGGCCACTTAATTCTTTTAGCTCATTTAGATTCGAAAATTTTTTACAAATTTTAAAAAGTTTTTAAACCATTGCAGCAAGTTATACACAGAAAGAAGGCTAAATCAATATGAGAGCATGAATAAACCATTATATTCACTTCATAAATTTGAATTAAAAACAAGACATGTTACTGGTTTTTTGACCGATGAAATTCAAGTTATTGTTGAATCGCAATACAGGAAACTAATATTAGGAAATTATGAAATTGATTATAATAGAGAAGCAAATAAATGTATTATGACAAAAAGTGGAATCTTACTGATAGTTAAAAATGTCGTTAAATGTACCAATAATATAAGGTGTAGTAAAAAAAAATCCATTATTTTTGCATGAAATTGAAGGCTTTATTTAGCATAGTTAGAATGATCCAATTTAGGTAAAATATGCACCGTTTTGTTCGATAACTTGTTGCCATTTTGAAGATAATTCCATTATGCCTCTCTTATAGAAACCTTTGTCCCTATTGGCAAAAAACTGGGACAGTCGATTTTCACAAGCTTCTCTTGAGGCGAATTTTTCACCAGCAAAATCATTTGCCATAGATAGGAACAGGTGGTAATCACTTGGTGCCAGGTCCGGACTATAAGGTGAATGTATAAGAACCTCCCAACCAAGCTCCCGGAGCTTCTGGCGAATCACTATCGATGTGTGTGGCCTGGCGTTGTCCTGATGGAACACAATTCCTCTCCTATTGGCCAAAGCTGGCCGCTTCTGGGCGATTGATTCCTTCAGACGGTCCAATTGTTGACAGTACAGGTCCGAATTAAGAGTTTGGCCATAGGGGAGCCGCTCATAGTGGATGATTCCCTGCCAATCCCACCAAACACACAGCAAAGCCTTCCTGACCGTCAATCCAGGCTTGGCCACCGTTTGCGCCGACTCACCGCGTTTCGACCACGACCGTTTTCGCTCGACGTTGTCGTAAGTGACTCACTTTTCATCACCAATCACCATCCGCTGCAGAAATGGGTCGATTTTGTTGCGATTCA